TGGATGTGCAAAAGGATTTGAATTTTAGAAGGTCCCATTCATCTATTTTATCCTCTCCTGGTTGTAGATTTTTTAGGATGCTTGGAAGACTGTTTATGTTTTGGATTAGGACTTTAGAGTTCTTCCAAGCTTTTCTTTATTGAAGTTTAAAGTCCTTGGTTTTAGTCCTAGGTCACTGAGCGACCTTGAGTTGGTTTTTGTGTATGGAGTGAGGTGTGTATCTTGCTTGAGTTTTCTGCAGATAGTTTTGCAGTTTTGCCAACATCATTTGTTAAAAGGCTGTCATTTCCCCACTTAACTGATTTCATTTCCTTGTCAAAAATCAGTTGACCATAGGTAGATGGGTTGATTTCCAGCTTCTCAATTCTTCCCATTTATCTATGTGTCTGTCATTGTACCAGTACCATACTGTCTTGACCACCACGGCAGTGGACCAGATGGTTTTACAAGTTTATCAAACAGTCAGAGAAGAACTGTCACCAGTTCTATATAAACTATTTCAGAAAACAGAAAAAGATGGAATTTTCCTAGACTCATTCTACGAAGCAAACATATCCTTAATACCAAAGCCAGGAAAGGACACCACTAAAATAGAGAACTGTAGACCAATATCTCTTATGAACATAGATGCCAAAATCCTGAATAAAATACTGGCCTGTAGAATCCAGTGATACATCAAGGAAATAATTTACCATGACTAATTGGAATTCTTAGCAGGTTTGAAAAGATGGTTCAACGTAAGAAAAACCATCAATGTAATTACTATCACAAAGAGCAAGAACCACATGATCCTATCAATTGATACAGAAAAGGCCTTTGACAAAATCCAACATCCTTTACTCATTAAAACACTGTACATTTGAGGGGAATTTATTCAACATAGTAAAAAGTATATATGCAACCCCAAGAACCAACATTGTTCTCAATGGAGAGAGGTTAAAGGCATTCCCTTTAAGAACAGAAACTAGGCAAGGATGCCCACTATCTCCCTCTCTTATTCAGTATTGTATTGGAAGTCTTAGCGATATCAATAAGAGAAGAGAAGAAAATAAGAGAGGTATCCACATTGGCAAAGAGGAGGTAAAATTATCTCTCTATGCAAATGGTATGATAGTATACTTAGAAAATCCTAAAGACTCAGCAAGAAAACTACTGGAAATAGTTGACCAATTCAGCAAAGTGTCAGGATACAAGATCAACATACAAAAATCAAATGGATTTCTCTACAGTGACAAAGAAAATACAGAGCTGGAGCTAAGAAAAAAAAAAACAACAAACCTCTTCACAATAGCTAATCACAAGATTAAATAAATACTTGGGAGTAAATCTAACCAGAAGCACAAAGGATCTATTCAAAGAAAATTACAAAACATTACTACAAGACAAAAAGAGACCTGGAGAAATGGAAGAATATCCCTTGCTCATGGATAGGAAGACTCAAAATTGTGAAAATGACAATACTACTGAAGGTAATTTACATGTTCAATGCAATCCCAGTACAAATACCAATCCCATTCTTCTTCAAGATGGAAAAGGCAATCTCCAGTTTCATTTGTAATGAAAAGAAGCCCTGAATAAGCATAGCACTCCTTAAAAATAGAAACAAGGGAGGCATCTCACTCCTTGATATTGACTTGTATATTATAGTTTCAGACCATTTCATTCTCATCATATCATCTTATATAATTAATCACTACTGTTTTCTTGAAGCAATTCTTTCATTTAGTTTCTAAGAAGCAGGCTCTATATTTGTAACCAACAACTAAATAATAGAAAATTAACACTCTATTGTACCTCAAGCCAGAAGATTCCCTTTTGCAAGTAATGGATACAATAATAAGTGTCTGACTTCTTATAGTACTCAGTACTGATGTAAGAGTAACATTTTATAGTATCTCAAAGGAAAAATAATTTTCTCTTAAAATAGCAATTGGTTGTTAGCTTCCTTTTCAAAGTTTCTTATCCTTCAAGGTTTCTTTGAAGCCCTTTTTTTTTTTGCCCTTTTCCTTCTGCTCCAATAGTTAATGCCTGGGCTTTAAGCCCTTTCTACAGCATCAATATATAGATGGTGCCAACTATTTTCAGAATACTGATAAGACTGATCAGCTAGTCTGGGCTTTGACTACTGACCAGACCATCTGGACAAGAGAAGAATCTAGAAAAATTCTTCACATTCTGTTGTCCTGACCCTCCTCTGTATGAATCCTCTTCCCCTCCATATTGTTGAAGGTCTTCCTCTTCAGCTGAACCTCTGCCTTTTCCAGCGTGAAGTCTTTTCTTCAGAACTGACCACTCCTGGCAACATACCCAAAGTATGTGAGATGAAGTTTCACCATTCTTTTCTCTAAGGAGCATTTCTGCTAGACAAACTTGTTTGTTCTTTTGGAACTTTATGAAATATTCAGTACTCTTCTCCAACACCCCTCAGTTCAAAGACATAAATTCTCCTGTCATCCTTATTCATCGTCCAACTTTCAAACGCATGGGAAGCAACTGAAAATATCAAGACTTGGTACAAGTGCACCTTAAGCCATAAACTGACATCCCTCCTCTTGAGCACTTGAAAGAAGTCCTTGCCAGCAGATTTTCCCAATGCAATGTGTCTTTTGGTTTCTTGACTGCTACTACTATGGATATTGATTATGAATACATGGAACAGGTAGTCATTTAAAAAGTGAGTATTCTCCATCTATGCTGCCTACTCATTCAGTGGTGAAGATTTTTGTTTTCTTCATGTTAAGATGTAATCCCTATTGAAGTCTATACTCTTTGTTCTTCTTTGCCAAGTGCCTCAAGTTGTCTTCACATTCAGCAAGCAAGATTGTGTCATCTGCACAGTTCAGATTGTTGATAAGTTTTCTTCCAATCCTGATGCCGCCTTCTTCTTCTTCTTCTTCTTCTCCTCCTCCTCCTTCCTCCTTCCTCCTCTTCCTCCTCCTCCTCCTCCTTCTCCTTCCTCTTCTTCTTTCTTCTTCCTTCTTCTTCTTCATAAAGTCCACCTTCTGAAATTACTTTCTCAGTATATAGATTGATTTGTTATGGATAAAGATACATCCCTGGTTCACACCATTCCTGATTTTAACACATGTGGTATTCTTTTGTTCTGTTTTATTAGCTGCTTCTTGGTCTATGTAGAGAATACTCATAAGCATAGTTAAGTGTTCTGAGATTCCCATTCTTCTCAATGCTATCTGTCATTTGTTATGATCCATACATTCAAATGCCTCTGTATAGTCAATGAAACATAAATAAACATCTTTCTGTTACACTATGATTTCAGCTAAGATCTGAGAGCAGCCATGATATTTCTTCTACAACCTCTTCTGAATCCTGCTTGAATTCTGACAGTTCCTTATTAACATACTAATCCAGTTGTTTATGAATAGGTTTTAACAAACTTATACTTGCATGAGATATTGATGACATTGTTTGGTAATTTTCACCTTTTCTTACATCACTTTTATTTATAATGGCAAAAATATGATTTTTTCTATTGATTATACAAAATTTTGTCATTTGGTATGCAGTTTTAGTTCTCTCACTATGGTCTTTCCTTACTCTTTGTTTCCAACTTCTGCATTCCATTCACCTATTATTATTATTAATGCATCCTGGTTGCATGTTCATTCATTCAATTTCAGGATACAAAAGTTGTCTCCTGAATAGTGCTTTCCCACCTACTCTCCATGATGTGTTTTTTGGCAGCAGATGGTAGACTTACAGCTTTGCAGTAACATTCTTCCCCCCACCCCAGTAACATTTGTCAACAGCTGATAGATTTGTTTATGGTTTATTTTGGCTTACTGAAATGTAATCTCCTTGAGATCAGGGACTTGGCTTGTTTTCTTACATGCTTAGAATAGTGGTTAACATATAACTGAATCCACTTTAATAGTTGTTACATAAATTAATATGAACTTAACAACTTTTTTTTCCCGATCAAGTCTCAACTTTATTGAAATCATACGAACTTAACAACTTTTATACTTATGAGACCTTCCCTATTCCCAAAGCCTTTCTAGTTCTTAAGATTTCTCAACCATTTCTTTCTACTTTTTTCTGAACCTTGCATTTCTTAATTTTGTTCTCCCTTGTCTCAATTGCATTTCTGCATTTTTCAAGCTAAAGCGTCAGCAGTTTGCTTACATCTCTGTGGGGCTTTAGTATTTCTAAAGCATTTGTATTTATATTGGTATTACAGTTGCAGATGGTCTGTGGGTCTGAGTTGAATGACTGTAAGCATATAATGCTGAATTTATAAAAGAGTAAGAAAGACATTAAGACTTTCAGGCTAAATTTATATTTTTCTAAGATATTTAAGTTTCTTGTTTTATTAATAAATACCCTGCCTATTTTTATTGTTTCTGCCTACTTGTGAAGGGATTCCTCCTTGATTATTGGTGAGGATTTTTAGAAGACATGAGAAACCACCGAGATCAAAACTCTCTCAACTTCAGATCCAGGCTTATAGCTGTTTTGGTTGTTCTGTGCTGTTAAGTTGGAACCAACTCAGAGCTGACCTTCCAATAAGCTTTCAGGGGCTGTAGATCACATGGGAGGAGATTGCCCATCTTTCTGCCGTAGAACCGTAGAACAGCTAGTGGATTTGAACTACATGCCTTTTGGGTGGCAGCACACCTCCTTGCCACTAAGCCCCTACAGCTCTCTATAGCTAACTTCTTGTTGTTGTGGTGTACTGTCAAGATGGAACTGACCCATAGCTGACCCTCTAGCAGGTTTTCAGAGGCAGTTAATTACATTGAAGGAGATTGGCCATCCTTCTCCATAGGAGCAAGTAGTATCTTTGAACTGGGTGCCTTCAAGATTGCAGCACAACTCCTTGTCACTATGCCACCTGAATTCCCCTGTAACTAACTAGGAGTAGTCATTTTCTTTTCCTGATTTCCCTCACATTTTCCTTCTATATTAACGTGTAAATGTAATGCTGTATTTGCATTGCAGTTTGGTTTTGACTGTTGTATTATTTATGGCTTTTACAGAATCTTGCCTCCTGGAACCCTTCAAATCCAGAATGTCTTTTACTTGTGGTGAAGGAGCTTGTGCAACAATATCACCAATTCCAATGCAGCCGCCTTCGCGAGAGCTCCCGCCTTATGTTTGAATACCAAACATTACTGGAAGAGCCACAGTATGGGGAAAACATGGAAATCTATGCTGGGAAAAAAAACAACTGGGTAAGGTTTTTTGAGAATGTGAAAAATTTACTTCTTTTATAATAAAATAATTCAGATGACTATTTATAGTAAACTTGAATTAGATAAACATGGCTTAGCTGGACACACTTTTTCTTAACTTAAGGGTTTGAAGGCCATTAATGCTTATTTGTTGCAATGCTTTTCTTACAGGTCACCTGGGCATTTTGTAAAATGCAGTTTCACTCCTCTACTTCACATGCAGGGCCTGAGAAACCTCCATGTGTGATAAGCTTTCCTGGAGGCTTTGATGCCAGTGGCCCACAGGAGACATGAATTTTCCCTTCCTTTCATTGTGTAATTACTCCTGTTTCCCAGTTAGATAAAGAAGGTCAGGAACTCTGGCAGTTGCTAGCTTATGTGGACCGTTTATAATTTTTAATTTTTTTTTTTTTACATTGTGTGGTCCTTTAAAAAGGCAAGTCATTTAGTGAGTGTCATTTCTCTGTCAAAACTTTTCATGCAATTCTCTCTCTTTTTTTGTTAAACATTTTATAAAAATTTAAGCATAAATTAAAAGCTTAGCCAATTTCAACATTTCTAAAAATTTAACCAGAATTATTTTGGTCAAATCCAGTGTTAGCTGAATTAATAAGGACCAGGGACATTGAAGTCTTCTCCTCACCACGATGGAGGTTTTGTCTCATTTTCCACTCTGTATAGCCTCTCAGTAAAAACGAAAGTTTCCCCAGTGGTGTTTGAAGTCCTGTGTGATTGCCGTCACCATCACAATCTATCAGTGACCTCACATCATCTCCTACCACCTTCTCTGTCTGCACTCTAGCTCTGCAAACACGCCCTTTCTTTAGGGTCTTTTCTGCTGTCGCACAGACATTTTTCCTAATATGCCATCTTCTCATAGCTTCCTGTGCTAACATCCCTCTCCTCCTTTTAATGACTTCCCTCGCTTCCAGTAATGTCACGTACCATAAATTTATCTGTCTTAAGGGTGAAACTCAATGAATTTTACTCAATTTACTGAGTTGTTCAGCTATTGCCATTAGCTACTGTAGAACAGTTTTGCCACCCTAGTAAGATCCTTCATGTCTGTTTATAGGTATTATCTGTTCCCACCTCCAGCGCTAAGCAACTACAAATCTCCTTTCTATTTCTATTTCTATAGCATTGCTTTGCCTGGGTGATTTTCATAAAATCATATATTTTCTTTTCTGTCGTACATCTTTCACTTAGCAGAATGCTTTTGTTTTTTTTCTTCAGTCACAAATTTTTAATGTGTGAACATACCTCATCTTAAATTAAAACTACTTCTAGTTATTTATTTTTTAAAAAATTATTGTTTTCTGTGAAGGTTTACATAGTGGTTTGGGTTCCTACTCAATTTCTACACAAATTGTTCAGTGACAACGGTTGTATAGCATGATGTTTTCAAGGTTTATCTATGTCATAGCATACCATGGAAACACTATATATTTACCCTTTCTCCAATTAATGTTGTTTACACTTTTTTATTATTATGAATAATGATTCTATAAATTTTATGAGCAAGTCAGCATAACATCTCTTTAAAATTGAAACTTGCATTCTTCCAACATTTGATGTGCTCTTTGCATTTTAAAACTTTCTTTTTCATACATATAATTGGTTTATTTTGTTAGTTATATATTCCAATGGAAGATAATTATCTCAAAACTAAATGACAACATTTATTTTCTTAATTTTGTGGGCCAGGAATCTTTGTATACCTTGGCTAGATCCTCTGCTTCAGGGTCTCAGAGGCTCCAACCGTGGTATTGGCCTGTCAGCATTGCATGATTTTGCAGTCAGCTCAAGGCTTAGCTGAAAGGGTCTACTTCTGAACTCACTCAGATTGAGGTTGTTGGTAAGACTTACTTCCTTGTGTTCTATTAGACTTTGGGTTCAGCTCGTTGCTGGCAATTAGCTCACAAGATCTGTTCTCTATTCGTTGCCATGTATACTTTGACTTAAGATGGTTTTATCAGAATATGCAAATGAGAAAGAGCTGGAGTGAATTATGTGGGCAACACAGAGTCACAGTATTTTATATATCTAACCTTGAGAGTGACACGATCTTAATTTTGCTGCATTCAGTTTCTTAGGCACAAGCTACACACAAGAAGAGAGATTACGTAAGAGAGCAAATACCAAAGGTCAAGGAGAGCTACTTGGGACTATAACACATATTTCTTGTATTTATTGTCTGTCTCTGGCCACTGGAATGTGAAATTTTGTGAGGATAAGGATAATTTTTTTTTTGTTCTCTATTAATCCCAAATAGCACAGTGCCTGTGAAATCACTGATGCTCCAAAACAATGGTTGAATGAATTAACTACTAAATTCTAGTGGCCTAGTTAGTAAAGAGTTGCACTCTCAGCCCTAAGCCAGGTAGTGTGAATCCACCAGCTGCCTATTGGAGAAAGATGGGCTATCTTCTCTCTCTTGTGTTTTTATCACCTGTGGAAACCTACTGGAGGATCAGCTTGAGTCAGTTCCAGCTCGACACCACATAACAACAGACATAGAAAGACATTAGGTGCTCTTCTCTGTGATAATCTTTTTAGGTTTTCTTTAGTTGTACTTCTCTTAAACTAACTGTGCCCTCCCCATCCCTTTATATCTTACTTTTTTCTTAAAGATATGACTTCCAAGGCCTTGCAGATGACTCATGCCTTTGACTCAGTAAGACTAAAATTTATTCTCTTTATAAATAATTTTGTATTGAGCGATACTAAAATCTGTTTGTATGAATAGCCAGGAAAATTTTGTTGAACTAGGTTTCTGCTCTATCTTTGTAATATCTCTTTTTAATCAACTTAGTTATCATTTAAAAAAAAAACAACAAAACCCAAAGAATAACATTGAGTTGATTTTGTCTGGACTACTTGGTGAGCCTGTAGTGGCTGTAGACCAAGGTTTTTAATTTTCAGGATTTGCTTCCTTCCTTTCTGTCCAGTTTTTAATAGTAAGGATGAATTTAAATGAGTCTGGTTCTATGCCAAGGATCTCTTCTTGTTTGTTGTGTTAAGTCACTATTTGGAATCTTTTAATCCATTAGCTGCTCCATGGGAGGAAGATGGACAGTTTTCTTCTGTAAAGATTTATAGCTCTAGAAACCCAATAAAAGGTTTAATTCAGAATTGACTCATAGGCCGTAGTTTTGTTTTTGGTTGGTAGGTTTTGTATTGTTTTTTTAGTTTTATAGTAACTTTTCTGCACTAAGAATCATGAAATTATTTTCCGTGACTCAACTAATATTGATTTGAAGGAGGTGTAATGATTTCAATTCACTTAAAGCATCTCACAGTTTGTATTTATAACATGTAAAAAACTTTCTACTAAGTGTTTTATTTTTACACTTTTTAAAAAATCCATCTATATTTAAAAAATCCATATATATTGTATTTTATACTTTACTTCATTGTCATTATATTTCATACAATCATCCCCATACATTGTGTTATATAAAATTAATCAATATTAATGTGATGTGATGTTAATATCACATGTGATATTAATTATTAATATCACATGTGATTAAAATCTTACTGAATATTATCCAAAAATGGCTAGAAAAGTACATCAACAGAGAACTACCAGAAATACAAGCTGAATGTACATCAGGAATATGTCTTGTCTCTGTATTTTTTCAATCTATATGTGGAACATATTATCCAGGAGGCTTGGCTCTGTGAGAAGAAGTGTGGCATCAAAATTTAAGATAGACTTATCAACAATCTGAGTTATGCAGATGACACAACCCTGCTTGCTGAAACTGAGGAGGACCTGAAGCGCTTGCTGCAGAAGGTCAAGGACTGCAGCCTTCAGTGAATTGAAACTCAACATCAAGAAAACAAAGATTCTCACCACTGGGCCAATTGGCAGCTTCATGATGGATGATGAAGAGATTGAGATTGTTAACAGCTTCAGTTTGATTGGCTCTACAGTCAACACTCTTGGTACTAGCAGCCAGGAAATTAAAGGATGAATTACATTGGAAAGTCTGCTGTCAGACTGTGGAAAGTCTCCAAAGTACTGAAGAGCAACAGTGTCAGTCTTGAGACTAAGGTGCACCTGATCCAGACCATGGTCTTTGCAATTACTTGCTATGCATCAGAAAGCTGGACAGTGACTAGAAATGATAGAAGAAGAGTTGATGCCTTTGAGCTCTGGCACTGGAGAATATTGAGTATACCATGGACTGCTAGGAGGACAAACAAGTTAGTCCTAAAGAGGGTGCAGCCAGGCTGCTTCTTGTAGGCAATAATTCTGAAGCTCCATCTGCCATACTTTGGACATGTTGCAAGGTGGGATCAATCCTTGGAGAGGGACGTCATGCTTGGGAGGGTGGAGGGACAGCGCAGGAGAGGAAGACCTCGATGAGATTGATTGATTTAGTCACTGGAGTAATGGGGATGGGCATGTTGGAGACCATAAGACTGACAAGGGATAGAGCAGGATTTAGGGCTGTTGTACATGGAGTTATTATGAGTTGAAGGTGACTCGATGGCACGTAACAACAACCACAACATGGTCTTGGCTGAGAGTATAAGAATAATGTCTATTTGTGCTTTATTGATTACACAAAAACATTTGACTATGTGAATCATATAAAATTGTTGCTAACATTGAGCAGAATGGGAATCCATGAACACTTGGTTGTGCTCATGTGAAACCTTTACCTAGAACAAGAAGCTGTTGTTCAAACTGCGTGGTTCAAAATCAAGAAAAAAGTGCATCAAGGATGTGTCTTTTCTCCATGCCTTTTCACTCTGTATGCTGAACAGATAATTCAAGAGGTTTGACTTTACAAAGAATGTAGCATTAGGATTGGAAGAAAGCTTTTCAACAATCTGTGGTATGCAGATAACACAAACTTGATTGCTGAAAGTGAAGAATCCCTGAAACAATTGTTACAGAATGTCAGGAAATACAGTCTTCAATATAGATTGCATTTCATGATCAAGAAAATAAAAATCTCACCACCGGCCCTTGTGATTAATGG